AAAAAAAAAAAACAGTATAGCGTTGTAACCAAACAGTGAAATAACATAAATTAATCTAAAAATTTTTTGGAGTAGATAAAAAACAGACCGAAATAGAGATAGGAATAAAATATACATAGCCCCAGACAGAAATTATTATAAATATAACAATAACAAATAAAACCTTAATTCCGCTATTATTTAATAAAATTAATTCAATTTACATCTTCAATAATTTGCACCTGTTAACCATTGTTTCTTTCTTGCTTTTTTTTTTTTTTTAAACTTTCCTCTTTTTCCTCCTTATTTCTAAATGACCTCTTTTTGACCTCTGTGTAATCAATACACCAACCACTTTGAGGCAACTTTTTTTTTTTTCCAACTTATATCGTACGACACAATCAACCAAATGGTACACATTGAAAATTAACTGACTGACCGCTTTAGTTCGGCTGTAAAGAAGAGGAAGGAAAAAAAAGCAAAGAAATATTGGTAGTCACCAAAACGTCTCACAAAGTTGTTGATGTAATGGGAACTGTGGCGACACAAAAATGAAGTCCTTTTGTTTTTCTTCGATTAACGTTTCTTGAGAACACCACAACCATCATAATAACTACGATGACAACGATGACAAGAACTGAACAGAAAAAAATACCAAAAAAAAAAAAAAAAACAAAACAACTGTGGTCAACAAAGTTGCTGCTGCATCAACCATCACCGCCACCAGGATTGATCACCAGCGAACAACAAACGCCTGCAGCGACAGCGTCAGCACCCACTATATAGCCACACAGAGCAATAAAGCCGTCAGCGGCAATAACCAGCCGCAGTAAAGTTCGACACCGATGAAAGAGCGGGTTGTCCGAAACGAATTTCGAAAGCGCCCAAAGCGTCGTTGGCGATTTGCCAATTATAGCAGTGATGCTGCCGGTATGTGGCGTATATACAAGAAAAATTGAGCTCCTTTGAAGGTTTTTCAAATTGTTGGCCATAAGTCCAAAAAACCATTGTTTTGGCTGCTTTTCGTTACTATTGCATGACCAAGGCAAATTGCGGGTACACTAGAGACCTGATGATTGCTCTTGGAAAGGGAACCACCCGATTATGCACATCCATCGACGGATTGTTTGCACCATTCGAAGCAATCCGAGGATGATGCATGAAAAAAAATAAATAAACATAGAAAACAAGAGTTTAATTTTTGTCGGCTATGTAACCACCACTGCCCCTGCCCTTTCAACAATTTATTTTTTCTTCTTTTTCCTCATATAGAAGAGTGCAACACGCAGACATACGCACACAGACACAGACACACACAGATGCACACACAAAATACACATGCAAACAGACTTGCACAACGGTCACCGTCAGTTCTTTTCTGCCCAACATTCCTAGCTGAATGCTAAGAAAAAAAAAAAGAAAGAAAATAGAGAAAAAGTGCAACAGGAAGGAGGGGGAAAGGAGAGGCAAGACAGGAGGAAGAGAAAACTGACTTTTTTCACTCGTTCTTCTCCGAAGCAAAACAGCAATAACAATGATGACAAAAGTTGTTCGTTTTGTTTTGTGCGTGCGTGTAAGCGTTTCTTTTTTAAGTTCAAAAAGGCGAATTAGGAGTTGTCTTATCTTAGTTCAACAAGATTCAACAAACCCTCACCCGACGAAAAATGAACGCGAATAAATGTGGAAAACAATGGTTTTGATGGCGGGAAAAGTTGTGATGCAGTAGGAAATACAAAAGGAAGGAGCAGGCATTTTTTTTCTGGTTTTAAATAAATTTCAAAAAAATTTTTTTTTGTGGTTTACGAGACAGTTTATAAGTCCAAGACGTGTATTCTAAGCGATATATTTATTATTTGACCTTCAACGTTTTGTTATATATCAAACACGAAGCATTTCATAATTTTTAAACTTAAATCGTGTAAAGTGTTCGGTTTTGATATTTCACTGCATCAAGAGGAAAAGAAAGAAGGTGAATAGGAAGAAGAGGTTGAAGGGGTGAAGTAGTACAATCGTTGTTCAGCGAGTTTTTTGCTGTTGTTGTAATCGCTTTTGGTGATTAAAATATTCACTAACTTAAGCTGGTGCTATTTAAGTAATTTGTACCTGTATTTTTGATAAAACAGTCATACTTTCATCGCATTCCACTTCTTTCAAAATATAGTTTTTTATACACCCACTTGTATTAGTCATGCTTTAGCAGATTTGCTTAACGACTTTTTTTTTCATTTTTTTTGAAAGCACTAGACATGTTGTCAAAAAAATTGTTCTGGCACTTTGTGCTTTTGGTTTCATTCTTTCCTTAGTTGGTCATATTTGAGTGAGTTGTTTAGCTTGGCCCCCTACGGATAAGATTAGGCTGCTTTATACGCGACAGTTCGTCGGGAAACATTAGTGAAACTATAAAAGGAATAAGACATCCTTCCTTTCTTGTTTTTTTTTTTTTCTTCTCATTGTTGGACGGGCGCACATGGTTTTAAAATAGTCATAGGAGGGCCTGGTAAAACATTTAGGTAGGTATTTTCGATGAGGCAATGGCAACGGAGGATATTTTATTTTATTTCTTTATAGAAAGACTTTAAATGGAGAATTGTTTAGTTAAAGAAGGGCAACTGAACTCTTTTACGAGAGGAAGGAGAACCTGCCGGTTTATGCACTTTTTTCCGCTTTCTTTTTTTGTTTAGTTTTGTTTAAAAGGTCGTTAGGGATAACTATTGTATTATTGTCGGAACTGAAGTAAAAAAAAATTCTATTTTATTTTTATATTTGTTTTATTTTATTCCAAACCTTACAGTTCTTTATTATTTTATATATTATGCATAGAGAAGTTTATGTACAATTTTTGTTTATTAATCTGTATATGTGCGGGCTCTGTGTATATGAAAGGGACAGGTCACTACCACATATAACATATACTTAATGAAAAGGGCAAGAACTTTGACAATAGAGTGCAAAAAGGAGAATAAGAGAAAGAAAAAAAAAATTTTTTTTTCAATCAAAAATAGAATTGTAATTGAACTATTAATTGGTCCACAGCCGCTGCACCTTTTGCATCCAAACTAACAACCAGTTGTGGTTTTGTAAACAAGTTCTTTACGCAGGCACAATAAGGGTATGCATAGGGAGAGGGAGTGGAAGAGAGAAATATTAGAAAGAACGATGATGATGGTGATGATGGTCATCGAGATGTTTTGATGAAGATGGGAGAAGGGAGGCAGGGAATAAGAATGGCCGTCTAAATGTTCAATAGACATACCAGCCATACCATAGACATAAAAGGTCAAAATTTGGTGTACTAACTAATTAGGCTTTTTTTTTTTTCTTGCCATTCTTTGTTCCAAAACTTGTTTTTGCACAAAAGTTTTTTTTTTTTTTGCTGTCATCAAGAACACAAACGAGAATTACTAGATGTTCATATTTTGTAAACGAATTTTTCAGTTACTGCCCATTTCGTATACACACACAAACACACACATACATGCACAACCTTGGACGGCTCAGGGATTGGAGGAATGGGAGCCTAGAAAACGTCAATACCAATCATTGCCTCTTTGATGTTCATTTTTAGAAATATTTCACTCACTATGATTATTGTACATAGATGGCACTGACTTCTTGATCAAAAAAATTTATTTTTCAGATT